GGTAAAATAATCGGTCCTTTTGAGTTCCCAGAGACTTTGACTGCTGAGGTTTATTTAGGTTTTTTGCAAAATCATTTAGAAAATTTATTGGAGGACGTGCCACTGAGTATTTACAGGGACATGTGGTTTCAGCATGATGGCTGCCCAGCGCACTATGCACTCTCAGTGAGACAGTATCTCGATCAAAACTTTCCAGGCAGATGGTTAGGGCGGTCTGGTACAATACCGTGGCCAGCCCAGTCGCCAGATTTGAATCCGTTAGATTTTTTTTACTGGGTAAGTTTAATTAGGAAATTTTGAAAAATTTTGATCAGTTTTTCTTCAAATAAAAATTGTGCATAAGTTAACGAGTAATCTTCTAAGTGTTATACCATTTTGGAATCCTTATTAAATGCGCCAACTTTTAAGGTTACTTGCCAAACTCTCGTAGTACATGTTTTTCCAGTACAGCCAGTTAAAGTTGAGCAGTTTTACTTTGGAATACTTGGTTGGGAAATAAGTGGCAATTTTTGCTGAACGAGAAAGGTTGGCAGTAAGGTTGAGACACCAGTTTGAAGATGCGTTATTCATCATTACATTGTAAAAATAAAATCCAAAAAAAGTTAATATTTGTAGTAACAGGAGTTGACAGACTGCCGTAGGGTGTGAAATTTCTATATTTTTTTCAAAGACCTATAATTTTCAAAACACATACATAAAATTTTTTTAATAATTTTTCTGATAGCTGTTATGACTTTGCCTATCACCCGGTTTCGGCTTGACGACGACTTCTGGGACACCCTGTATATGGTGTTTCAAATTCGAACCTCACCATTGAGATCTTGGAAAATGTAAGAGATACAAAATCGCTTAAATGAGTTGCGTATTCAGGTAACTAAAAAAATGCTGCTTAGAAAGTTTCAAAATTCAATGTACTTTTGGAGAGAAATGGCAAAAATGGGATTTTCCCAAAATATTTTCAAATTTTTTCTGACTTTATTTGTGAAGGGATTCCGGAATAATTGCACATTAACATTTCCACTTTTTTCTCAACAAGGTGGCATACTTAGAATTTCAATAAGAAGTTTCGTCTCCTGTCTTCCAGCACCAACTTTGTTTTTTCTCAAAGACGCTATATTAGATTATTGCACAGATGAATAGAGTTTTTAGTTCTGATTAAAAAAATGTATAATATGTCATATATTGACATTGCTAAACCTTAGTTATTTCAAAAAAGCAGAATTTCCTAGGTAGGCCTTGTAATTATCAGATAGTTATTTGTTTCGCATACTAGATTTATCCCAAAATTGCTTTTATTTTCCCCTGACTCTATTTAAATTGCATATTATCATTGTTACTTAATCTCTACAAGATGACGTAGTCAAGTTTGCAATTCGACATTTCTTCTTTATAAGGAATTAAAAGGGTATGGTGAAATCTGAACACAAAATTACCATTTTAAAGGTGGTAATAACAATAATAATTATAAATAAGCAGAGGTAAATCATAGCAAATTTTCAAAATGTTGTCCGCTATTAGCCTGACTTTACGTTGTTCACCGCTCGATTTATTTCTCTACTTCTCAGTTTTTTGAACTCTGTTACTGTTTTCAAATGACTATCTGATAATTCAAGGCATGCTTAGAAACTTATGTTTTTCCGGAATAGTTACGATTTGGCAATGTCAATGTATGACATTTTGCATTTTTGGAATCAGAATCAAAAATTCTAATCACCTGCGCAAAAATCCAATATGTCATCTATAATAAAAAATAAATTTGATGTTGGAGGACAAGAGACAAAATGTCATATTGAAATTCTAATTAATAAATAAAGGCAGGAAAAAAATTAAAACGATTTTGGGAAAATCCGGTTTTGGGTGGTTCAGAGACCCAAAAACAAAAAATTGGATTCGTAAGCAGATCTTAAAAGCCAGGTAGTCAATTTCGATTGAACCAAAAAGCGTACGACCCCAAGAAAGCGGTAAAAAGACGGCAACGCGGCAAGAAGGATCTTCTTGTGCAGCATGTAAAGCCGTCCAACAGAATAATCTCCAGATCGAAGGCCTTTTCGGCCCTGCCTTAACATGACCGACTTTAACAAGCATCGGCATCTGTTCTCCGTCCAGCGAATTCATCGGCGGACTTTCATTAGTTGCAGCGTCACGGTTTGTTTGGTCGACTGTCCACGCATCTAGCTGGACATGCCTTGAGGTCCTCGTCTTTTTTTCTCCACGGACAAACATGAGCTCCACTGATGGAAGAAAGAAAAAATCGTCTGCCTCAGGATGTGAACCCGTAACCTCCTTTAAAATGCCGCTGCATCACATGCTTTAAGTATTTGAAATGAGAGACGTCCATAATAAACCAGGCGCTGGATAAAATTTAGTTTAAAAAATGCGCACTTGATGAACAGATATCAACCGACAAGAGGTCAAAGAATAATAATCCGGATCTTGCTGGATCGTTTTATTGCCCCATTTTTTAATCCCATCCCCTTTTAATTACAAAAAAATGTTTTTCTGAAATCTGAATAGTTTATATAATTCCTTGATTAAAATTAAAAGTTTGGAACTTACAGCGCCGCATGAATCTCGCAACTGTCAGTTTTATTATCAATTGTTCTTGATCTTACCCCTGCAGTGTGACTATATGTGAAATACAGATAATGGCAGTGAAAACTAGGCGGCGGATGGTGCCATCCGTTTCATCATTGTATACTAAGTGACATATAAATCCGAACACCCAGTTTAAATGGTTTTATTTTAATAAAAGTTGGTGAATGTATTTATCTTGCTGTAAATAACAAGTGAACAAATTTTCAGCCTTATCAGTTGGACATTCCAGTTTTTATACTGCTTTTTTTTAATTCACTAACGCTCTAAAAATGAATATTTCAGCCGCAGTAAAGAATCAACGTTGGCGGATTTTGGTTCTTGACATCCTTTACGATCGGTTACGATGCCTAGAGTACGGAGACCTCTACGATTTCGTCAACTTAGTGAGTTTGATAGGGGCCGTATAGTGGGACTTCGGGAAGCTGAACTTTCTTTTCGGGCAATTGCAGTTAGAGTGCAAAGAAGTGTAGACACTGTGGTTAGGTGTTGTCAGCCATGGCTTCGAGAAGGCCGTACGCAAAGAGCAAGGGGCACTGGACGCCGCCGTAGAACAACAGACCGTGAAGATCGCCGCCTAAGATTATTGGCCTTAAGGGACCGTTTCTCCACTACCAGGTCCATTGCAAATGAATGGTTTGCAGAACACGGAAGACCTATTGGCATGCGAAGTGTTTACCGACGAATGAGAAGTTTTGGCTTGTTTTCATACCGGCCACACTGGGTCCTCCCTTTAACTCGAGAACACCGACGTAACCGCCTTGAGTGGTACAGACAACGGTCACTCTGGGTTCAGGAATGGAACAGTATTGTCTTTAGTGACGAGTCTCGATTTTGTTTAGGCATGCACGATGGTCGTGCCAGGGTTAGAAGGCGACGTGGTGAAAGGAGGAATCCACAGTTTTTTGTTGAAAGACATGTTCATCACACTGTTGGAGTTATGGTTTGGGGTGCTATAGCTTATGGTTCCAGGTCACCTTTAATCTTCATCAGAGGTAAGATGAACGCGCAGCGTTATATCCACGAAGTTCTAGAACCCCATCTTTTACTCTATCATGACACCCTGGCAGATCCAACTTTCCTACAAGATAATGCCCGACCACATGTTGCAAGAGTCACAATAGACTTCTTTCAACATAATGATGTCACATTGTTACCATGGCCACCAAGATCTCCCGACTTATCCCCAATTGAGCACGTGTGGGATATGATGGGTAGGAGATTGCTCAATTTGCAACGTCCTCCTCAGACTCTAGAAGCACTTCAAGAGGAGTTGGTGGTTGCCTGGAATGAGATACCACAGGAGGACATTGACCACCTGATCAGAAGCATGCCTATGCGCGTTGGAGAATGCGTAGCACATCAGGGTGCATCCACACATTATTAAAGGTCAAAGGGCTTTAAAGCAGTGCAATCATTTTGAAATTTTTATCATTTACTTATTATGCTTCATTAAGTACTTATACAAAATTTTATTAAAATAAAACGATTTAAACTGGGTGTTCGGATTTATATGTCTCTTAGTATATGTCTCGAGTTTATAGCTTTTGCTCAACTCCTTTGTTATGTATAATATTAGTAATAGCAATAAAATAATAACTGTCACTTAGTATAGTTCAACACCTGAGAATTCTTTCCGTCGTGCTTTGTGTCAGGTTAAATGACTGAGAGACTTTGCTCAACTGGGTAACTTGACAACAATAAACAATTTTATTAAATACTTGAAAAATAAAAAACCTATTTCACAGGCGGAACCCAACATCTATTTTCCTGTTTGTCTAATTAAGCAGCTTAGCTACTTCATTCTTTTAGGTGAAATATTTTAGGTTTTCGTTGAAAAAAGCGGATTGAAGTAAAGAGGTTATCGACAAAAGATGTCACAGCAAAGATCAGAGAAAATCGTAGCCAATCTGAAAAATTAACAAAAGGTTTTTTTGATTGCAAAAATCGACTATTAGCGTAAGCTACCATACCCCCACCTCTCCTTCCGCCTCGGTGGTAGTGTCACATTTTTCCAAATAGGAGGACCTGAAGATCTTTTTCTTGCTTTTACTCTTAATAAAGTCAGCACTTTTCTTTTGAAGCCCATGCTAAAATCCCTCTTTTGAGATTGCCAAGAATCTAAATTAAAGCCAAAACCTTCTGTTTCAAGACCCCGAAGAGTAGTTCGAGATAATTTATTGTAAAGCGATTTTTAACCTAGTTTGTTAGAGCGTGTGTTTAAAAAAACACGTTCCGACATTTTTTTAGAACTATGCACACCCCCTGTATCCGTCACTGAATCAGTTGCTTAATTTGATCAAAGCTAGGAGAAATATGTATTTGATTTATTTCGAGAATTTTGGAAAATGTCGAAAAAATACAGAAATAAGAAACGAGTGTAACTGATAGAAAATTTATTAAGACGTCTCACTTCTGAAATAATATTATAAAACACTAACAATAAAAAAAAGATAAGTGCTAGGTGGTACAACTCAGAAATTAACTAGATTTGGAAAATAAGAACTAAAAAAAAAACTAAAAATAATTAATTTTACCGGGCTATCTTTATTTTACGAGAAGCTTTCTTGACATTCAGTTTTTTAAGAGCATTCGAAAAATATTTTTAAAAAAACAGTTGGAATAGATGTTTTATATGCTAATAAAGATAACTCGACAGTCTGAAATATGTATGCATTTGAAAAAAGTGCATCCAAATAAATTACCCATGCATTATTATTTAATCGATGCAACTATATATATTTCAAGAAAAAAGTTAACCAACGTCAACTGCCCCTTTATCCGTCATCTAAACAATTTTTAATATTTCATAATTTTATTGTATTAATTTTGTAAAAAATATGATTTTATGCCAATTTTCAATATTAATAGTAGAACATGTCACATTAGATGAAACGTTTAAAACTTTCTCAATTCAGTATGAAGAAAATATTACTATTCTCTTACATGCATAGAACGTCGTCAATATATGACGCTATTCCACAAAGTATAAAAAATAAATGGAACAAATTTATATAACCCTTCTCTTATCCGAATGATAATTACGAATTGCTTGTACTACAATAAGTTTGCAACACACTTAACAATTGCAGCCTGATTTCGAGATTAACATCATCAGGTACCTTCTGCATGAACGGTAACAATGACAGAAGGAACTTTTTGTTTCCCATAGCATCATCGTTTATGTCATCTTTTTGCATCTCAACTACTCGTTCCAATATTTCCTTCACACTTTGCTGATTAGCGTTGTTATTCTGCGTCATGTCATCTTCTTCGGCTTCAATCGTGTCTTCGTTTGGTACGTGGATGAACTGGACAGGTTGGAGAGTGTTTATTTCAGACAGAGGGACTGTGTCTTCGTCACCGTACTGTTTTGAATCTTCGTCATCATCTGCATCGCTGTCTTTTTCGCTGGTGTAGATCACAATATCTCTAAAATGTTTCAATTTGAAAAATTAAAAATCAAGTACCAAAATCGTGCTACCGCTACTTTCCTCCATTATGGTACCAGACTATACAAGGTGATAGAAAAAAACTTTAAATACAAGAGTTTTAGGAAATCAAAAGGCGCATCTAGTGGTGACCTTGGATTTTTCGTTGACATTCACCTTGAAGATCACTTACACGAAACCCTCAAATTTGATCCCAGCGTTGAAAATATTCAAAGGTTTCATTAACGAAGGTAAATTCACATCCAGAGGTTACTACAAGGTCAAACGTCCTATTTCCGTGAATATACGGTTTAATCATATTACCCCCATCCTCTCATCAAGAGAATAGTTATTCGTTCACGATCAGTCAGACTATCCCTTGGACGATCCATTTTCAAACAGAAAAATTGTTTGCTCTAAACATTCTAGTCTAGATGTGTCTTACACATAAAGGCGATGCACATAAAAAAACAAAACTGTTCTTCGATTTCGATAAAACATAATGTATGTACATAAAATAAGGTTTAAATTTAAATACTACAAACAGTGCTTCGAGAGAACTAATTCGGATAAGAAATTTGACCTTGAATTGACTTTCAAGCTCATAGCCAGGGCCAGAATGAAGGTCACCATCAGATGTGCTGTTGGGTGTCATTCAATTTCGGCACTAAATATTCTTAAATATTCTTCTTTTGTCAGCTATCCACCGCTTCAGAGCATTCCATAACAGAGCAACAGTTGACCATGAAATAGCATCTAGATATAATTTAGATCCTTTTGAAATTTACAAAAGGATTTTTTTGCTTTCCATTTTGCAATAAAAAATGGGGGTTCCCATTTGATAACATCAACTTGCCCTTGAAATGACCTTCAAGGTGACTTTCAACGTTTCCGAGTTATGTATTTAGGTGTGCCCATACTTTCAGGACACCCTGTATGATGAAACATGTTATTTGCTATAACAAGTTATATTAGAGTGCAATTGTTGTCTCAAACCCTAATCAAGTTACTCACTTTTTCGAGTCTTCTTCTTCTGATACGCCATTTTGTTGCTCTTCAAACGCTGGCACTGTTCTGAAATGCAGACCACTGCGTTCAATCAAAATATTAATTCATGACGGATATTGACATCAAAATCAAGCATTATTGTCTAAGATATTGATATTGATCTTGAGGAAATCCGATCAATGTAAACAGGGAAATCCAAATATCACTGAAGAGAGAGAGAGAAGGAGAGAAGCGCGTGAAACGTGCAACACGTTGCTAGGCAACGTGGTGTTTCTATCTCTTTCTAACATACTTATTGCACGCGTCTCGCACTTCTTCATCATACACATTACGACGTCAGTGGTATATGGATTTCACTCTACGATAGTACATTACATACCTAGCTTGAGAAGTGGACCATCATTGAGCGAGTTTTTTCATAGCTTGAGGTGCGTGGCCCCGAAGTACATAATGTGCCTTCTCAAACGAGATATGGTATGCACAAATTTTTTTCACTACTAACACTATGTATCACCAAATATCCGATCTTACACCTGGATCGTGACATTTCCAACTCTGTTTACGAACAATTCAAATTATCTAGTTACCTGGTGTCAAAATCACAAAGATAAATAAATGAATGCGACGGGCAGCCGATTTGGTTTGGACTGGACCATGCGAGGGCAATAATCTTATTTTTATTTACATATTATTACTTTTTGTTAACATTTTGAACTATTTTTAAATATTAGCTAAACATGCTGCTGTCACCCGTACGACCAAAGGCAGCTGTTTCGTTCTTTTTGGTGACTTATCAGCATCGCCTATACTTGATTTCTGGGACAAAGAACGAAAGCATAGATGGCGCTTGGTCTGTCTTATTTCGATTACGTTGATTATTGGGGTATTCAAGAAAGAGAACTACATAGGGCGCTATACTCACAACTACATACACTTTTTGTATATTTTTATCCTAATGTCTTTTTTTACGTTTGAACATTGTAGCATTTTTTTATTTTTCTTATGAATAAACAGATATTATTATTGCTTACTTATAAGTCGTTCTGAAATATTTCAAAACATAAAGTTCAGTTGTCAATCTGACACAATAAAATTGACAGGATACAATTTGAAATGACATTATAAAGGTGTTTTTTGTCTAGTAGTGAAAAAATATAATTGATTGATGATACAAGTATTAATTGTTACTTCTACAACTAATCGTTCTACCTATTTTTTCTACCTACTTCCTGGAAGTTGTGAATGGTATTAGAAACGAAAGATCCTTGTAGTAGACATATCTTCTCTTGTATTCGCTTGGATTTTCTCGTTCTTTTCTCAGTGCTTTGGTGAAGGTGTCTCTCAGGGATTTCCATTTCACTTGTATTTCACGAACTATATAAAGAAAATTTGTTATATCATCGTTGCTTGCAAAAAAATAGATGGAAAAGTGTCTACGATGAGTTGTTCTACTCTCTTAAATTTCAGTACTACTTGACAACAGACTTCCAGGTAAGAAAAAAACGGAAGTATTTAGCACGTGGTTAATAGCATGAACCCCATTTTTGTGCAGGTTTAAGAGGTTTCCAAAAATCCGACTGCTTGAGAAATTGCTTTAACTTTAGCGCTTGTAATCAACGGTCTACAAACAGCGTTATTAAATGTCATTGTCTGGTCTGGAGCAGCAAAACTTAACTGGGCCACTAAAACAGAAGAAGGTAGCATTACAAATCGTACAACACTGCTGGTGCGGTCTTTGAATCAAGGGGGAACCGCGAAAACTGACGGCAGTGTCGTACGATGTGTTTTTCCGTTTTGGTACCTATATATAGAAGTTGTTCTGCTTACTAATTGGAATGCCCTACGCGCAGATAGTAAAGTATAATCCCTGTAATTATCACTATTATAAAACGTTTGAGTCAAGAAATTCCACGACATGGCTTGGCGAGTCATACCTTTTTTCGAGAGAGTGCCTATGGGGCATGAGGTTTTGTAAAATTTTAGGGTATCTACTATGTCGAACGGTTGTTTGGAAAACTTCGAAGGTTCGAAAAAAATGTGAATTTTTTGGGGTTTTCCCCATAATATACAGAGTGTTTCAGTTTATTGTTGCATAACTTTAAGATTCGATAGAACTTTTAAAATTAATGCATAAAGTCTATATAAACATGGGTCGAAAAATGCGTGGCTTCCGAAATACAGGGTGTTTAAATTTACTTTCTAAAATAGTTTTTTTTAAATATTTCGAACAATATTTGATGTATAATAGTGAAAATTGGTATACAAGGGTTTTTTGGTACGACAAAACGAACCATTGAGATATTTCGATTTTTAAGGTTCGATGCATTTTTAATTATTTATGATAAAATAACGTTAAAAAGTCAGTATCTCGATAATTTTTAGAAGCAGGCTGTGCCTGCAAATATTTTTGAAAATGAAAGCAGAATAAGGTTAAACGTCAATTAGTTGACAGTTAGTTTTGTTGTCTGTTGAAACCTGAAACGTTTTTTTGCAATTGTGAATGTACGAAATTTAGTTTCTTTTACCTGTTTATTTTGTAAGTTTTATAAAAATGCCATTTTTATTCTCAAATCATGAGTTAGCGGATATTCATTTTGTGTATGGCTTTGTAAATGGAAACGCAGCAGAAGCAGCCAGAGAATACGCACGAAGATTTCCAAACAGACAACATCCAACTCGCTCAGTATTTGTAAGAGTGCATCGCCAAATAATTGAAAATGGTTTTGGAAATCTCCAAAGGGATCAAAACATAAATGTTCGTCAGCGCAGATTTACCCGTATGATTCTGCTTGAGTTTGATAGAGATCCGACAACAAGTGTTAGGAGAGTTTCTGGTGCCTTGGGAAATTCAGCAAGCCATGTTCACCGTGTTCTTAGAAATGACCATAGACGTCCTTATCATTTGCAACCTGTGCAAGGACTACAGCCAGGGGACGGAGAACGAAGAATCACATTTTGTCAGTGGATTCTTGATAGAACTGATAATAATAGGGAGTTTTTAAGTAACGTTTTATGGACCGATGAGTCACTAGACGTGGAGTGGTAAATTTTCATAATCAACATATTTGGTCACATGAAAATCCGCATGCAGTTCGGGAAAGAAATTTTTAGCATGAATTTAATGTGAACGTGTGGATTGGTATCTACCGTAATCGACTATTTGGACCCTACCTTTTGCCTGCAAGGTTAAATGCTGCGACCTTCTTGGAATTTTTAAAAGCTGAATATGCAAATATGTGGGATGATGTTATGTTAGATTTAAGAAGATTGGCCTGGTTCCAGCTTGATTGTTGTCCAGCTCATTATTCGAGAATAGCTAGAAACTGGCTGGACGAAAATTATCCAGAAAGATGGATCGGCCGTGGAGGACCAGTCGCCTGGCCTCCACGATACCCTGACCTTAATCCATTAGATTTCTTTGTGTGGGGATTTCTAAAAGAAAAAGTGTACCAGACTCCCGTAACCACAAGAGATATGCTAATAGACAGAATGAGGAATGCATGTGATGAAATAAGGTCTCATTTGAATAATGCTATACCACGTTTGATCATTCGTAGATGTGAATTGTGTATTGAACAATCGGGTTTACATTTCGAGCAACTACTTTAGATTTTGTATGTTTCTCCTAACTATCCAATAGCATTTTAGTTGTAAATAATTAATTTAATTTGTTAAAAATAATATTGGAAAATTAAACAAATTAAAATTCTGTTTTTTTTGTGTTTATTTGGAGTTAGGAATTATTGCTATGTTTAAAAACACAGTCTAAACGATCATCTTAATTACTTGTAATGCCCAAAGCGAAAATGTAAAAAACACATTATTTTCCCATAAATAATTAAAAATGCATCGAACCTTAAAAATCGAAATATCTCAAAAACGGCTAACTATAACGACAACTCACAGGAGAGCTTTTTTATGCAGAAAAGTGCGAGGAATCAGTTTTTTTATTCAAAAAGCAAAAAATTGCACTAAGAAAATTTTTTCGGTCATTTTAATACACTACAGGTACAGTAGAGAGCGCCATCTAGCGGATACAGTAAAACTATGCCCATGGTTCGTTTTGTAGTATCAAAAAACCCTTGTATACCAATTTTCACTGTTATGCATCAAATATTGTTCGAAATATTTAAAAAAAACTATTTTAGAAAGTAAATTTATTTCGGAAGCCACGCATTTTTCGACCCATGTTTATGTAGACTTTATGCATTAATTTTAAAAGTTCTATCGAATCTTAAGGTGATGCAAGAATAAACTGAAACACCCTGTATAGAAGTTGGTCTGCTTACTAATTTTAATGCAGATAGTAAAGTATAATCCCTGTAATTATCACTATTATAAAACGTTTCAGTCAAAACCAAAATTCCACGACATGGCTTGGCGAGTCATACCTTTTTTGGAGAGAGTACCTATGGGGCATGAGGTTTTGTAAAATTTTAGGGTATCTGCTACGTCAAACGGTTGTTTGGAAAACTTCGAAGGTTCGAAAAAATGTGAATTTTAGGGTTTTTCCCCATAATATATAACTATTCCGAACTAAAATTGGCCAGGTAACTCAAAATGACTTTCAAATTGCGATCTGATAATTTGTTCGATAGATATTTAAGTCGAAATTGATTTCTTCAAGGTTCTGTACTGTTGGGCTAACAATTCAAATGCCTTCCATAACGAAAAACGCACAAAATTCATATTTTTTAGTAAAGAAAAAAAACCACTACATGGTCGGCTGTTAAATACGATAATCAATGCTGTCAGTTAAGCAACTTTTGCATATCCTTCATGGTAAGAAGTAGTAAGCAGTAAAAACAACAAATCCACTGGAGTGCTTAGCCAGCAGATTTTCCGTTATCCCTAGCACATCGGCAACACGGCTCGTAGACTCACCTAAGGCGTCCTTTTCCCTCGCGTCATACCGTTTCCACCGCTCTGCGCCGAACAGCGTTGTGCCGACCTCGTACCAACAACGTTTTTTCTGCTGCGGATTCGTCAGCGCCATTTTGCTGTCGTACAACACGCGGTATTTCTTCACTTGCGCGATCAACAACGCCGGGTCGATTCTACGGACGCGTTTTCGGTCCATTTCTGCACTAGGAAAGCACTTGAAATTGTTTGAAACGCGACAACGTAGCTTGGATTTCAAGGTATCCGACACTGACGTTCACGGCGTAGCGATTTTGCGTCGCTATCGCTACCGAACAGTTGCGCAGCGTCCCGCCGACGCTTCGCTGCCGCTGCTGCTGTGGTGCCGGCTCTAACATACCATATACGAGGGGAGTACAAGAATTACTGGAACAATTTCAGGGCGATGTCCAACACTGAAGCTTATCGTACATGATTATTTGTGTCGGTATTTTACTCTACATGGACTGAGTTCGACTCATGCGTAACACATCCCACCAAGTCTTTGCTAAAAAGCATTAAAGATATCTTGGCTTATTTATTTTTTATTATTAGTTTATTGTTGCATAACTTTAAGATTCCATAGAACTTTTAAAATTAATGCATAAAGTCTATATAAACATGGGTCGAAAAATGCGTGGCTTCCGAAATACAGGGTGTTTAAATTTACTTTCTAAAATAGTTTTTTTAAATATTTGATGTATAGCAGTACAAATTGGTATACAAGGGTTTTTTGGTACGACAAAACGAACCATTTGCATAGTTTTACTGTAGCCGCTAGAGGGCGCTCTCTACTGTACCTGTAGTGTATTAAAATGACCAAAAAAATTTTCTTAGTGCAATTTTTTGCTTTTTGAATAAAAAAACTGATTCTTTGCACTTTTCAACATAAAAAAGCTCTCCTGTGAGTTTTCGTTATAGTTAGCCGTGTTTGAGATATTTCGATTTTTAAGGTTCGATGCATTTTTAATTACTTATGGGAAAATAATATTTTTTTTTACATTTTCGATTTGGGCATTACAAATAATTAAGACGATCGTTTAGATTGTGTTTTTAAACACAGCAATAATTTCTAACTCCAAATAAACACAAAAAACAGAATATTAATTTGTTTAATTTTCTAATATTATTTTTAACAAATTAATTGAATATTGGATGCTATTGGATAGTTAGGACAAACAGACAAAATCTAAAGTAGTTGCTCGAAATGTAAACCCAATTGTTCAATACACAATTCACATCTACGAATGATCGAACGTGGTATAGCATTATTCAAATAAGGCCTTATTTCATCACATGCATTCATGATTCTGTCTATTAGCATATCTCTTGTGGTTACGGGAGTCTGGTACACTTTTTCTTTTAGAAATCCCCACACAAAGAAATCTAATGGATTTAGGTCAGGGGATCGTGGAGGCCAGGCGACTGGTCCTCCACGGCCGATCCATCTTTCTGGATAATTTTCGTCCAGCCAGTTTCTAACTATTCTCGAATAATGAGCTGGACAACCATCATGCTGGAACCAGGCCAATCTTCTTAAATCTAACATAACATCATCCCACATATTTGCATGTTCAGCCTTTAAAAATTCCAAGAAGGTCGCAGCATTTAACCTTGCAGGCAAAAGGTAGGGTCGAAATAGTCGATTACGGTAGATACCAATCCACACGTTCACACTAAATTCATGCTGAAAATTTCTTTCCCGAACTGCATGCGGATTTTCATGCGACCAAATATGTTGATAATGAAAATTTACCACTCCACGTCTAGTGAAGCATGACTCATCGCTCCATAAAACGTTACTTAAAAACTCCCTATTATTATCAGTTCTATCAAGAATCCACTGACAAAATGTGACTCTTCGTTCTCCGTCCCCTGGCTGTAGTCCTTGCACAGGTTGCAAATGGTAAGGACGTCTATGGTCATTTCTAAGAACACGGTGAACATGGCTTGCTGAAATTCCTAAGGCACCAGAAACTCTCCTAACACTTGTGGTCGGATCTCTATCAAACTCACGCAGAATCATACGGGTAAATCTGCGCTGACGAACATTTATGTTTTGATCCCTTCGGAGATTTCCAAAACTATTTTCAATTATTTGGCGATGCACTCTTACAAATACTGAGCGAGTTGGATGTCGTCTGTTTGGAAATATTCGTGCGTATTCTCTGGCTGCTTCTGCTGCGTTTCCATTTACAAAGCCATACACAAAATGAATATCCGCTAACTCTTGTTTGGAGAATAAAAATGGCATTTTTATAAAACTTACAAAAAAAAAACAGGTAAAAGAAACTAAATTTCGTGCATTCACAATTGCAAAAAAACGTTTCAGGTTTCAACAGTCAACAAAACTAACTGTCAACTAATTGACGTTTAACCTTATTCTGCTTTCAATTTCAAAAATATTTGCAGGCACAGCCTACTTCTAAAAATTATCGAGATACTGTCTTTTTAACGTTATTTTATCATAAATAATTAAAAATGCATTCTCAAAAACGGCTAACTATAACGAAAATTCACAGGAGAGCTTTTTTATGTTGAAAAGTGCGAAGAATCAGTTTTTTTATTCAAAAAGCAAAAAATTGCAATAAGAAAAAATTTTCGATCATTTTAATACACTACAGGTACAGTAAAGAGCGCCCTCTAGCGGCTACAGTAAAACTATGGTTCGTTTTTGTCGTACCAAAAAACCCTTGTATACTAATTTTCACTGATATACATCAAATATTGTTCGAAATATTTAAAAAAAACTATTTTAGAAAGTAAATTTAAACAGCCTGTATTTCGGAAGCCACGCATTTTTCGACCCATGTTTATATAGACTTTATGCATTAATTTTAAAAGTTCTATTGAATCTTAAAGTTATGCATCAATAAACTGAAACACCCTGTATATATATACCTATAGGATACCAGTTACTGGTGGGAATACAACAAGATTATAAACAAAGTAATGTAATACACACTAACTAAGCCATCGTTTTACATGTTTGCTTGATGTATGGGCAAAAGGTATCAGAATGGCTCCTTGCCAAAAATTTTATTGGACTGTAAGAGGAGTGTGATTAGATTCGTGTATCGAAACCTCATCTTGTATAATTAGTAATATATTGAGTATATTGATTGCTGAATATTCCTGCTCGTATTGTGCTATTGGTACCCAAAAAAGAAGAGAGTAGTGCGCTACTGCTACGACGGTGTGTCTTTGTATATCCGTGCGCGAGCCTCACCATATTCAAAGAAACAGTGACGTACTGCAATATGCTGCTATTTTCCATTTTGGTACCTGACTATACAGAGTGTCCTGACAGTTTGGACTATCCTTTTCGAAGTAAATTTAATTTGCCATAAAACGTAAAAAATAAACCGAAGAAAAATGCTCACTATTCAATGGGTAAGAATTCAAGCACTGCGCAGTCACATGTTTTGCTTGTAAATGGCGCTTAAAGTTATCCCTATTCGTTTCAAAATCACGAGTTTGTTTACCGTTTTGTAAATAATGTAGTTGTTTCGAAAGTTTTATTTCGGACTTCCATCGTTTATATAATTTTTGAGAACATGTCGATAGATACTTCAGGTAAACTGAAGACGCTTGAAGATAACTTATGAATCAAAACGTTGTCATCTCAAACAATGTATTGACATTAAAACATTATCTTACTTATTCCTAAATTTACAGCATTTGGGCTGTCTAGGTCTTCTACTGTGTCAGCCCTCTTGCTCGGTATAAACCAGCCTATGCAGCTCTGCTGGAAGGATTGAGAACTTTGTGAATACACTCGAGGAGTATCAACAGGATCTTGAAGACGTTCACAGTAATCTAACATCGACGATAACCTCGTTATTGTTCTAGGAAAGTGCCAATTTTGGGTTTTGCAATTTGCGACTTGTTTATAAACTATACCCCATTCGTAGTCTATTTACACCCAGACAAAACGCAACATGCCCAAAAGCGAGATTGTACAGGTCCGTATTTTCCTCAATGGTCTTGGAATAATCTAACATTTTTATAGAAAGAAGTGGACATACTTTTCACAATTCTTTATTCGCTGTTGTCCAGATCCAATACCTTTGTTTCGATTGTTTCTTGATCGTGACGGATGTAATCTTTCCAATGGTTTGCCGTTACTCTGTTGACAGCTTCATAAAACAAATTTGAATATTCTGTTGTTTGAAGCCACATAGTTTTGTATATTTGGTCAAATCATTTCAATGGGATTTAATTCGCAGTGATAAGAGGGTAGCCATAAAACAGACTTATTTTGGTTTTTAGCCAATTCGTCAATAACATTAAAATTATATTTATATTTGTGCATGCCTGACTAGATGAATAAGTTCTGCTTTGACCATATGTTCATTGGACCTAATGTCTTTTGTTAGGAGCCATTGTTAAATTTCTGCCTTTCTTGTGGACATTGTGGGATTTTTTTTCTATCTAATAAGTGTTGGTTCTGAATCTAATAGATATAGCTAAGTTTAGTGTAGCTAAGTTTTCAGCGTGGGCTCATCGATTCAGTCTACATGACACCATTTTTACAACACAAATAACGAATTGGTTAGATACACGTATCTGACGGATTCTTTAGGCCAGTGGTTAGTCCATCTAAGAAGGTTTGTCTTGCTGATTTAATTGTAAAGTGAGCCCATACTTTAGGTTTTGTATGCCCTGCATTTATCCAGGTTTCAACCAAGTAATAAATCTGCCCCGTTTTCTATACTCAAAATGAAGTTCCTTGAGTAAACTATAGAATGTGGTCCTTTTGAAGGTAGGTAAGTCTTCATCACTATTAACCTTCTGTAATACTTTGTCTACGCTGGGAAATTCCTGCCTTTCAGAAAATTGATGGACTTTGCATCTGATTTGAATACTTACTATGAAAGCTTGCTTACTACTGCTCTGTAAAGTCCAAACTTAGAGGATAACCTGTACAAAGATTAATCAACAGTTGTCTACCCTTCTGCCCACCACCCAAAGAAGATATATTGACAAACGAAGCAGATTATTAAAGACAAAACAAATTGAATAGACGCTACTCACATTCATACTCTCCTTATCAATGATCTTCAGGGTGCGCTTATATATGCGCCACAGGTTATCCTGTAATCACACAGCGACATCTTTTCATCTTTATAACAGTCACTATATTCGTATGCATATATTCATGACGTATTCATTCTGTAATGTCTAGAAGGCGAAAGACAGGTGGCTACTTCAAAATAAATTAATGCAACGTACATTCAAACGTCGTCCAATCAGTATGATCATGCAGGTGTCCTATAAGAACCAATGGTTGGTCCTACGCGAAGCGAACTGGCAAAAAACACGGATAAAACGGGCCGATGAAAAATCTATTAAGCATCATTCTTTAATTAATAATCAGGCATTAGCCCCATGTTGTTTTTTCGGGTCCGAACAAAGGACCTAATGGTTTTATATTATACAACATAATAATGGGTA